GTAACTACACTACTTTACAACACAATCTTCATTCTATCATTCTTGGAGATTTTAATATATATAATTACAATTATAGCTTTTTAGCCAAATTTAAACTTATCAACTTATTGCATTATTCAAATATGTATGATATTAGTGTACACTTTAGAAATATCCACTATATATAGCCTAACAACTCATATTCTAGTTGAATTGATTATATTTGAACTGATCAATTCAATATTCAATTATTTTTATCATACAAACTAGATATTAGTGATACTAGTACTCATAGTGACTGTCTTATATTTAATATATCTTGGATATTTCCTAATGCTTTTAGCAAACCACCCTGTTTGCATGCCAGTATTAGCTGCTGCATATTAAATTATAAAACTATAACTTTTAAAAACTGGTCTGAATTCTCAAATCTTCTTACAACAAAACTTAACTAGCATGAAATACCTCTATTACCACAAACCTCTGAAAGCATTGATGCTATATAACATATGATTGAACATTTTATTATATATATTGCTATATCAAGTATTCCAAATAAAACTAGTCATAAACATTATTATAACTACAAATATACTTTTCATAATACACAACTATACTTGTCACTTAAAAAACTTAGTAATCATAAATTTTGCATATTAATATTACCAACTTAGGATACACCTAATTAAATTTTTGACGGTGTTACCGAATTCATACGTACGTACGTAATTCAAATTTAAAACAAATGTACCTAGTGTTCAGATATTTCCGTTTCACGAAGTAAACTTTTTTCTTGTTTGATAAATGCTTAAAACATCATTGTTAATAATAAGCTTGTTTCGAATATAGTCCCTCAATAACATAAAAGCCACGGGAATTAACCTTGGATTATATGTGTACAAGCGGAAGCGAAGTTTACCGTACCCAATGGTCCAGAATATTGTTAAAGAAGATACTCATTCGACCGAAATCTGATTCTTGTGAATTTATTCAGAACCAAATTGTGTGTAAGAGCTTTTCCATCGCATCGCATTATGTACTGTGCGTCACCATTGTTGTTTGTATGTAAAAAGTTATAGTATAAAATAACTAACTCTAACGTACGTTTTTTAAATGCAAACATGTTATAAAAGTTCTTTAAGTGTAGGTTTTTAAATATTATTTTTGGCTCAAGTATATAACCTTATAAATGTTTTTCTCTACAAGCACACTGTATTGCTTTAGCTTCATAATTCTGACGATGATAAATTTTATGAGTGAAAGAATTGACTCAAAATGGTATATCGCTTATATAGCTAGACATACCTATATGCGACGTACTACTTGAGTATGTACCAAGTGTGTGGCGCAACAAGAATCTTCAAAGTTCGTTTATGCTAGAGTTAGGGTTAGAGTTATTGGTAGAGGAAGGTAGTTTAGGTAGTAAAATTACTTAATAAAAGCTTTTTGTTAGTGCACCAAAAGTGGTTTCTGATGTTAAATTTCGAAAAATAAGTGATTTTGACAAAACGGAAGTTTGTTTTGAATTTTATTGTCGTGTTACTTCGCACCTGATCATGAAATCTGACTCGTAGTTCATTACATCTGCGCCACAAACCTGGCACAAATTCAAGGGGTGCATGCCGTATTGTATAAAATCAATAACTAATAAAAAAAAACCATGCCGATATAACAATCAGGCTTCTCTAAATCAAGTCAAGCATGAATTTATTACTTTCAGACAACTAAATCCTATCCATAATGGCCGGGCAAATTAACGTCACCAGTTAACGATATAAATCCTAGAGTCTAGAGTTTGGGCCTGCATTTGAGAGATAATAGGGTCGCATTTGCATCTGTTGAATTTGTACCATCAAGGTGCAACGTAACACTACCAAGAAAATTCAAAACAAACGTCCGTTTTTCAAAAATCGCTTATTTTTCGAAATGCTACATCAGAAAACACTTTTGATGCTCTAATAAAAAGCTTTTATTGTGTAATTTTACTATCTCAGCCACCTTTCTCTAACCATAACTCTAACTCTGACCCTAACTCTAACAAAAACGAACTTTAAAGATTCTTGCTGCGCCACGCACCTGGCACACATTCAAGTAGTGCATACAGCATGGTAATAAAATTTGATTGGCTAATAGAAAACAAGTCCGAGACGAAAAATTTGGATGTTGTTAACAAGATATATTTAAATTATAAATTGTAATGTATAATAATAATAATTTTTAATTCTAATAGT